GGGAGAGCTGGAAGGGGTGGGGGCTGTCTGTGTGTGTGTGTGTGTGTGTGTGTTAAATGTATACTGTCTGTCTTAAGATTATCTTTTGTTCGTTTTTGTGTTTTAGTTCCCTTGTTTCTGTTCCTCAGTGTCTCCTGTGACGTTTCTCATTTCCTCCCTCGGTCTGCTTCCTTTTTGCTTTGAGTACCTGCAGTCTTTCTGCTCTTTGGTCCAACTGCTGACAAACGTTACAGAATGCTGAACTCAAGCATGGACACAGCAGAAAGGTTTTTTTAAAATGTTTTAAGACCAATACTGAAGTGGAGGTCCTTGCATCTCTCCTTCTGGTGGAAGAGGAGAAGAAGTTGCCTCACTAGTGGGGCTCAGCAGTGTTCCTGCTGTCTGACCGAAACTGGTCCCAGTACCAGAGCAAGTGCAGCCACGACTCGCAGCTGGAAACTCCTCCCACTCTCGGCGTCTTCTCAGTTAATCCTGTAACATGAAAAGAATTCATTACTTTCTCTACRTCTCCCGACCGCATGTAAAATCGCCAAAACTAGTTGATGACAGAATAATTACAACTTTCCCAATAGTAGCAATACATTCCTGATAACTTCTCTCCATTTTCCTGAGATGAGACATTTACTTGTGTTACTTGTGCACACGTGTCTGACATAACTGATTTGCTTCAAGCCAGTTGATGGAAACACGTCTGATTAGCATTTCTTTGTTTTTACATGTTTGCGAATTTTTAAAAATTTGCTCAAAATTTGAATTAAAATTGGATGGAAACACGGCTACAGACCCAGAGCAGCAGTAGCCCTGGCAAGAGGTGTGAGAAACACTGCATTGTTGACATGGATTCTTGATCGATCCCCACTCACCATACCATATACTACATTGCTCCACCTAACAACAGGTGATGCTGTAGCAGTGCAGTTGGACATTCAGTCAAATGGCAAATCCAGGCCCATCATTGCAGCCTCTGTTCATCTTCTGTTTGATTCACAGCAGACACTATATCACAGGAGTTTATCACAATAGTTGATTAGTCAGTAAGTACGTAAGTAAGTAAGTAAGTAAGTAAGCAAGCAAAGTTTTATTCCTATAGTGCCTTTCATAGAAATACTGTATATTCACAAGTGAAGGGGGGCAGTTAACACCCATTCAAGAAGACACATGACAAACAGGGGAACAGGTGAACCGGTCATGCAGCAACAGAGTTGCGCTACCTTTAACACCGCCTCCYCCAAGTGCACTGCTCCCAGAAAATTAAGGAAGTAAAACAGTGGTCAGTTCATTGTATGACCMTTTGGGAATTTTGGCCCCATTTAGTTTAACTGCTAAACTGTTGTTACAAGAATTTTGCAAAAGAAATTTTGGATGGGATGAAGTTAGTCCACACACTCTCTCTCTCTGCAATGGTCTGATTGGTTGAAAGACTTGCAGAAGATTTCAGAGTTTAAAATGGATCGCTGCATTAAAACACACGACTTTGGGAAACCTGACAAAGCACAACTTGGCAATTTCTGTGATGCAAGCCTAGATGGMTATGGAATAGTTTCTTATGTGAGGCTGGAAAAGAATAATGCATCACATGTTGCCTTCATGATGGGTAAAGCCAGAGTCGCACCTCTTAAACAAATGATACCCCGACTGGAGCTTACAGCAGAAGTTCTAGCAGTTCAAGTGGACAAGATGTTGCAAAAAGAGTTGCAACTAAAACTGGAAAAGTCAGTTTTTTTGGACTGATAGTACAACAGTACTAAAATACATCTTAACACTGAAAACCAAACCCATTTTACCACCAGAACTGTTCAATCAACAGGATCTTTGTGTACGAAAAAGGTGGAAACAAGTTCAATACATGGCAGAGCTATTTTGGAAAAGATGGTTGTCTGAATACTTGCCTTTAATGCAAGAGAGACAAAAATGGACTGAGAGGAAAAGATGTCTTATACCAGGAGACATTGTTCTGATTGCAGATTCCACAGTTCCAAGAGGACCATGGTTGATGGCAAAGGTCTTGAATCAAGATGCAAAGGGCTTGGATTGCTCTGTGAGCCTTCAAACGAAAACCAGCATTCTGGAATGACCAGTCACAAAACTCCTGTTGCTACTGGAAGCAACACACGAAAAGGAAGATTAAAAAAACATTTTTGGACTAATAACTTTCATTATTGTRAAAGGATTGTTAATTTAGAAATAGCTCTTTCCAGTACTTTTATTTTAATTGTGATAAAAGCACAATTAAGGGCCGGAGTGTAGGAGCTATTTTAACCTTTTTTACATTTGAAATTGTTCTTTGTTTAAATTATTTAAGATTACCTTTTGTTGTACACAAATACACAAAATAAAATACACAAAAGGAAAGCTGAGTTGTAAAAAAATTGCTCTGATCCTATGTTTACATCAGAAACACAGGGTCATATGCAAAAAAAACTACTCGCAAGAGAGCAAGTCAGCTTGGGCGGGGGTGGGGGTTGGCTTAGGTCAGATACCACATGAAGGGGAGGTAAGATGGGGTGGGTTCAGAGGAGTAGGTGATGTTGAAGGAGGCGGGGTCTGTGTTAGGACCCAACCCTGGCCCCCTCCAGAGTCCAGAGTCACATGWTGTTRTCATCTYTGYTCAGTTCGCCAGAGCTCAGAGTTCCCTCCTCTTCAGCCATTGGATTCCGTGGCCRGGTCCAACACGGGTGATGGGGTGGGATGGAATCAAGCCTTTGTTGACATTCCATCYTGGGGAGATWCAGATAAACACTGCCATCAAGGCCGTGCYGCTGGGAGCCAAYAGATAAATACAAYTGTTCTGGAACAAAGCAGCCTTGAATTTCCTGCTGCTTTTWAAATGTCTTAACTGCATCTCTGAAGTGGYRRRAAAAAAAACAATCAGCCSAATTTCGAGTATTCCTCACYTCTCRCCKTCTAAAGCTTCACCCAGATGTAATCCTACATACCAAAGGCTTGCTCCTGAGCTGCGATCCTCATCAGAATCACATCCACTTTGCRAATTATTTCCCACAGCTGCAGAGTCTGTGTGCTTCCAGCCCAGCAGAATCCTTCAAGTGCGCCCAACAGCTCCTCAAAAGCCCGAACCACTGTCAGGGTCGCTTTCACTTTTCGATAAATCTGGAAATCTCCTCCGCCGATTAGCATGACTCTAGGAGCTTTTCAGGGGTGCCACCGAGCCATTGGTTCAGATATGTTGATGACACCTGGGTTAAAATCAAAGCCCAGGAAGTCCAACAT